CAATTTTGCCTTGATCATTTTAAAAAGGAATTAATTGATCCAATGCTTTTATAATATTTTCCAGAATATTCCATAGTTATACCTTTTACTGAAGTACATCTGTCCTTCAAATTTGTTCGGATTTTCGGTGTAACAAACATTTGTAGTCCCTTCAAATTATAACACTTTCCCTCTTAACAAAATTTGATTGGTTGTTTGAAGGTAACACATTTTTATTAGCTTTATAAATAACCTGCAGAATATGATATTCAACCAACTCATAAAATTTTAATAATTTTAATTGATGAAACAATATACTACTAAACCTAGTAGAGTAAATATGAAGCAATATACATATTTTCTCAACTTGWTTTAGTGGAACAGACGCCCCTGAAATTCTTTAAAAGCCTTTTGACATTTTAAAGGTGCCAAACTAAAGGTAAGAACCAGAGGAAGTTGTCTGACACCCTAGTCCTCAAAAGAAAAGCTCCTGATAGTCTCTGGAAATGTTTAAAGGCAGACATCGTACCATTTTTTCCCACCGGTGGAGCAAAGACTGTTAAGAGGTTCAGGAAATTCTACAGTTTATTTCTTAGAGAGTGTGTAAGAGTACTTTTACTTTTACTTTCCCAATTTTTACTTACAGTTTTATCTTTTACTTAAGTACTTTTCTCATCAGTGAATTTTTTTTACAAAAGTGAAGGTTCTGTGAAGGTATTTTTACTTTTACTTAGTTTAAGTACTTTATAGACTTATGCGCAAAATGCAGTTTATAAATGAAGGTCTTTATTATTAAGGGAAAAGTAAATCCAAACATACAGAGCCCTGRGTGCAAAACGAAATGTCCCCAAACCTAATGGGTTAGACATAAGGACATTTTTCACAATCTGGTTGTTCTTTACAAAAAACAAAAATGTAATTTAATAATTATATCCCTGTTTACTATATCCTCAGTCAGGCTGACAGTTTCAGGAGCTGCTTGAGTAGAACTTCCTCATCCTCTTCTTTCAAATCGAGGCCTGCAGAGTATTTAAGACTCAGGGACTAAAGCAGCAGAAAATCTGTAGAGGTTACTGAAGCATCGCCCTCCACCACCACCCAGTACAACACATTCATGAGCTTCTTCCTGCACACGGCTCAGAGGCTTTCACTTAATTATGTATATGCTGTGTACATGACCTTAGTAAAAGTACACAGTTTAGTGTACAGACATTTAGACTTTTAAGACTGATGACATTCTGAAGGAAGAGGGATGATTTAAACTGCTTTTCTCTAATTTATTTTTGTCATTTTAGTGTTTTCGGCTGATGTGCTCTGTTTATTTAAAAATTATTGCACAGAATCAATTAATTGATTTATATATAAACAAAGTGACAGATTTAAACTATTATTTAATTCAAATGGATTATATTTACAGGTCAGGACTTCGATTAGGCCACTCCAAAGTCTTCAAGTTTTACTGAAGTCATTCACAGGTGGACTTCATGTGTTTTGGATAGTGGGCCTCATGCAAGAACCGTTTGTACGCACAGATTTGTTCTTAAATTGTGCGTACGAGTGATTTAGGAGAATTTGTGGCATTCACCAATGTTTTCGTATTCTAC